ACGATTTTCGACTAAGGACAGTTAGTCCACTTTTGCCGAATCACTTCTTCTCGAAGACCCAGCTTCCCGAGACGAATTAAGATATTTAGAAATACACGCACATGCGCGCGCGCATACATGCACACTTGTAAATTCCCGCCATTTCCTTTTTTTTTTCAATAAACCTAGTGAAAACGAACTCCTACTTTTTTTTTTTCCTAAAATTCCAATAACGGTAGAGTCCGCATAGGATTCGCTGAGGGGCCCACAAATCTTTATCTCCCAAATCCCTTTCCTTTCCTCAAATCGCGAAATTCCACCTTTTTCCTTCCCTAATCGTGAAGGAAGGCGCGGAGCCTTGGTACGGCTCCCCTTCCTCTCGAGCAAACCTAAAACTCATACCCACGCAAAATCATACATCAAATCGGTAATACTCCTCCCCCCCCCCCCCGTATATGGTCAAACGGGCAGGAAAAAAGATGGCGTTGCGGGCAGTATTCGCCCAGTTAGAAAACAGGCCCAAACCCCGTTCCCGGCGGGCTCACCATAAAAGGGTCGGGAAAAGCACCCAGACCCAAAAGGAAGACGGAGGTCCCGAAACATCACGGAGGGCCCTGACCTTTTCGAGTTAGCGCCTGGCCGAGATCAAGGCGTTACTCCAGGCGTCGACCCCGCGAACCGCGGAACGAACAACGCCCGCGAGATTGACGTCTGTGGAGACCCGGACCCCCGTCTGGAGGTTGATCCCTATCGATCTTCCGTCCGTAGAAAAGCGGAGAGAACAGCCGGAGGAGCAAAAGTCCACTCCCGAGGAAGCCCCCGAATTGATAGTTATCGACGATTAAAATATATTGAGCACAATTACACCTAGTATTCTTTTACCCATTTTCCCAGACGTAACAGTATTGCTTTAATTTAATTTGATTATTTAATTAAATATAAGAATGTTATTTTTTTATATAATTATATATACAAATGTTTGCTTTAAATAAGTACTCTGTATTTGTTTTAAAATGCGATCTATTGATAGCATTTAATCTATGAAACTAATTATAACAAAATATTTTACAGTGACACTGACAGTTCGCATCTTTCCCTCTCCTTCCATTAGTCTCTTATTATCTTTTATTGTTCCATATTATAATCATGTCTCAAGGTCAAATTGAAAATTCGCAATCGACGAACACTCTTATAGCTTTTCTTAAATTTCTTATCAGATTTATTCCCAATACATTTGGCGGCGACCGATTCAAAATTCGTAGTTTCGTTAAACAGGTAGACGCGGTGTTCGAAAATCCAACCACAAAAATCCCTTTTACTTTTTTACGTGAAAGGTAAAATCACAGGGAAGGCCAGAGAACAAGTAAATATCCACTGCAATCTGATCACTTGGGAAGAAATTTCTGATTTACTTCTTACTCTCTATCAGGATAAAAAATCATTTGAACAATTACTCGAAGATCTCAATTCTGTGCGGCAAGGCAAAAATGAAACTGTCCCAATTTTTTCAAAGATTAGAAGATTTGTCATCCTGAATTTTAGCATCAGTTCATGCTGCTGATTTAGAGGAAAGTACGCTTACGGGACGCATCGCAATGATAACTGATATGACCCTGAATCGTTTTATATACCACATTCAACCCCAAATATCGCAGATGCTTCATTACAGAGACTTCAAAACTATTAATCAAGCATTCACTGCTGCAACTGCCGAAGAAAAAGCACTTAAAGTCCGATATGATAATCTATCGAAATATACTCATTGTAATCGCACAAATCACTCGATTAATGATTGTCGTTTTAAACCGGAAAGACCTATTAATCCCTCGCGTAATCCTAGATCAATACATTTTACCCATTACAATCAAAATAATCAAAGAAATCCTAATCAGTTCCACCCACATAACCAAAATAGACAACAGAACTAGCGTTTTGTTGCATCAAATATCGTTAGACAAGGTAACAGATTAAATGTTCAATGTTCATATTGCAAGAATTCTGGTCACGTCATTGAAGAGTGTGTTCATTTTTATCAAACGTGAAACGGAATAGAAACACTAGAACGAACCCTAATTCTCTGTTACGTAGGTACCTTCCGTACCCTACATAGGGAAAAAACCCTATTTTTGAATCACCGGAGCTAGCCATGGAAATCCGAGTACAGAAACGCGAAACTCTTGCGAAAGAATCCAACGAGTTCATCGGCCAAACGGCTCCAAAAGTCACCGACCGACCAAACAACTTGATGACTCCGCAACGCATCAGCACGACTCAGAAACGCCACCCTCACCTGGGCCCTAGGAAGCCCACACCAATTGGAATATCCTACTAATAAAACCACCAATCCGATCAAGACGAGAGTCACAAGTCATTAAATCATTAGTCGAAACTTTAGTCAATTTGACGTAAGTCAACGTCAGTCGTCATCGAAACTTCAAGTGGAGCTCCTGGTCCCCGGTACTCCATTCCTAGCGAGTCAGAGACCGAGACCATTGGACTCCCTGCCGAGGACCACTATTCTGCGAGCTGCAGTAGCGCCATCCGGTACTCCAGCGATCCAGCCACCGAGTCAGGACTAGACGGCGGCACTGCGACTTCCATTGGACGGGAGGCTTCTAGGAGACCTCCAACCCTAGGGCACGCTACGGGACGAAGGTGTTCACGCACAGTCATCCGACCGGGTCGATCAAAAGAGACTGTCACCGATTACGGCCGCTGAACAAGCCAGGTAGCGGATTCTTCGCAAGCTCGATTCATCCTCATTTTCATTTTCGTTTATTTATTAAACCCTTCATCTTTGACCAAAATCGAATTCTAACCATTATCGCGATTTCCATGACTTGCTCCAGTTAACCGGGTAGATTAAGAATCCATCGACTTCCATTAACCAGCTGAGCTCGAATCTCAGCATCGCGAAATAGAATCACGCGCAGACCGCCACTGAAATAGTAAGAATTCCCGCGTCAGCACACCGGCGTCCAGTAACCTGCCGCCGCTAAAGCGCGCTATCGCGACACCCGAACCGCCGCGACGCGGAAGTACATTAATCTACAAAAATTAGGTCAAGGCACCTCGGGTGTCCTTCCAGCTGACTGTAGTTCAGACCTCGCGTACGAATAAATACAAACCTGATAGCCACATAGCCATTCGTTCGCACCCCCTTTTTATCCTCATTCCCCTAGATCCCACCAGAGGAATTGATCTAGCCGCTCGGATCAATCTCCTCACAAACTTTAAAATAATAGTTACGCGCAAGATTTGGGTAATCTCCATCCAAATTACCCCGGCCTCGCATCCGCTCGGCCGCCTCGTAACATCTCAAAATAATCATCCAGTTAATTTCCACGAATCACGAATACAATTATCCCATGAGTCCCTCTCAACATCTCGATTCAATCCTGTCGAGCAAATTACACGATCGGACGCTCATTACCTAAATCCCCGTGAACAAAATTTTCATCCGGCTAAAGGCTTCTCCCGGAATGCACCTATTGACGATAGAAAACTAGAGAGGATCGGTAGTCAAAGATTTCTCAAATTCACACTTCGGACATGTTAATTTCAATGACACCGACTTAAAATATGTATTAGTCGAATGTCCGTTTTCAAGCTCACCAGATACAGTACTCAAATTTCTTATCGATACTGGAGCCTCTGTATCCTTAATAAAAAGACAGTCTCACGAGTTAAAATATAATAGATGATAAGGTAATGATTTTAACGGATATAAAAAAGGATGCTCCAATTCATACTTCAGGAGAAATTGAACTCGAAGTAGAAATCCATCGTAACAAATTCTTCGTTAGGTGTCACTTACTTGATGACAATGCTGAATCAAATATACCTTTCGATGATCTCTTAGGCGGAGATTTTTTCAACGCAAAGAAAGTAGAAATATCCTACAAAAATAATTGTATCAATATTGATTCGATTCCATTCTCTATTCCTCTAAATTATAATACGGCTCAAAAGTCCGACTCAATTGTGACGATCAGACCGAGGTCAGAAATGATCGCTAAGTTAACGGTTTGCAATCCGCATAATCTTCGTGAAGGAATCGTCAATGCTCGAAATTTAGATGACGAAAGTACTTTGTTAATCCCAAACGCGATCGTAAAAATTATAAATGAAAACGAGGTTTAGAGGTTTAGAAGGTTTAGGTTTAGAATTAGTTGTGGTAATGATTCTAGCCCTACCGTACGAACTACCGGATCGGAAATGCGACACGACGGTAAATGCCCGGTTCGTGTCGCCTCTGTACGGAATTATTTTCGGAAATGTGAATTCGCGCCTATAGTGATTCGAGGTCTTGTCCTACAAATCGATTTTGAGAGCCTATGTGCAGGTGGGTTTCTTCCCTTCATACGACTCTGTCTTGCTCTATTTTCCCGGGCCTGTTATAGTGTCCGGGAAGCTCGCGCGCCTACGAGAGAGCGCAGACCGTGGGTCGCCGCGTAGCGGCCGCGGCGCGTACTAGTCGGCCGGCGTCGCGCTTGCGGGAACCGGGCACCCGGCTGCGGGGCCCGGCCGTAGTGCTGTACGAGTCGTGTGGCTCAGCCTCGGGCGCCATGATCCGAGGCACACGGCTCGTTACAATCTCACTGGAAAAAATAATAGTTTTCTAGTAATGGTAACTACACATTTTCTCGGTGTGCCGATTTCAATACTTCTCCATGGTCACTTATTATTATTGTATTTGTACATTTTTTATTAACGTACCTCTATGAAATAATGTATTTGATGAATGTTTTCTTGTCTTGGAGATATCATTTTAGGATTACATTCTTTACCGAATCATTGAAACATATAGTCAGTCTGGGTACATTTCACGAGTATTTGTTTTTCATCTTATGTTACTGATGATGAAAATGCTGTTGTAGTATAATGTTTATATCTTTTAAGTAGTCATATTAGTTTCACGAAGTACTTGCATGTTTCGGTACGTTGATTTTTTGTATAATTTCAAGTCTGTAAATTCATCTGTACATGGCAAGGGAACCTGTGCATGGTGTTTTACAATTAATTACACTTCTAGTAGTATGTTTAAGCTTGAAATTTCTATTTTCATCATCAGCCATTTTACCAAATTCATATTTGATAGAATAAATTAATGTTTTATTACATGCCGCTGGCAAACAGAACATACCCAAAATGTATCGATTTTATAAAAACTTTAACGAATTTAAAAAGGTGGTGTCTGAACAACCAGTTAGACATGAAATGTAATTAAATTATTCCCTACAAGGGTATTGATGCGACGTCTCTCATTTGCCGTAGCGAAATCCTTTACCATGGAGTCTTGTTGCGTAAATCCAATGCTGAAGATGCGATCCACTCTTACACTACCAAGGGCAAAAGCTTGCATCAAAGCAAAATGGCTTACTTCTCTATTAATATGACGGCTGATATCTTTGTTCTTCTTGGACACTCGACGCCGACACACAACATAGCTTGAACAAACAAATAATACTAATTATAAATGATTCTTACCGACCTGCAATATTTACTAAATCAAAATATTCAGCGATTGGGTTTTTATAATAGATTGGTTTTGGATTAGTTCGAAATTCTGTAGATAAAATATTAAATACTTCACCGAGTACAGGAATGCTGTGAACCTCTTATACAAAAAATGTGAATTACATATAAAGTTACCATGTGAAAAGCACATAATCATATCACAAAGCCAAGTACACAAATCATGATTACATATCTACATATTTTAGCAGTCAGGGTTGACACAATTTTAATTTATTTATGTGCGAGTTTGAAAATGCTACTACTTCATGTTCCGATTTATAATTACGTATCATTAATTTTCATTTAATCCGTTGCGGACACGTGTCTGCAGAGAGTCACTCAAAAGTCTTTACTATGAAAAAGTCCCATCCACAAAGAATTCCTTAGAACGTTAAGTGATTGTTTATCAAGTATTGTTTATCTTGGCGGTCTGTATCTTGAAAAATAGAGGAGACACAGACTATCTCAAATGCTTAACGGCGTTCACCACCAAAGTGGGGGCGGGACGATGACTTCCACCGCTAGATGGCATTAGCATCGAATTCGGTGGGAGGTAACCAAAACGTACTTTCTCGCTCGGATGAGGGAGACGCGACGCATAATGGGCAGTGTTTAGCAACGGGCGAAAAATGTGTGCGTATTTTGCACGTATACAACTCACACAACGGCTAGACGCCTCTGGACTAGGCGCCGAAACGTGTGTGACACTCGGCCGCACGCACACGCAAATTGGACGCTCCGCCTAGAGTCGGCAACGGTTGCTAAGGAATGCCCAAATTCCTTAGCGAGAAACTTGAAAATCCTGAAAAAGGTGCTCCACGGGGACAACGAGTTTGAGCGTATTTCTCAACCGATTGAGCTCAACGAGTGCTCGCTTTAAAGATAAAATGTTGACGTGTGTTTATATGGGAGCGATTTTCGATCAAGCACCTCCTTTCTAGGTAAAAGGGCATTGAAATTATGTCGTTGCACTTTTTTATATGAAAATGACCACTTATCGAAAATCGCTCCCATATAAACACAGGTCAACATTTCATCTTCGATATGAGCACTCGTTAAGCTCGATCGGTTTAGAAATACGTTCGGAATCGTTGTCCCCGTGAGGCCCTGCAAAATCGCTGGAGTGGTGAGCGCCCTTAATCGAATTAATGTAGTCATGCATCTATAATGTATATGCACTATCGTTGAGATTATCCTTAATATATACATTTCAAGTACTAAAAAAAGTAACCCGCCTAGCAGTACGTAATAAGTAAAATAATCATTTAATGTTTTATGGAACATTAATCCTTTGCGGATAGGACTTCTGCTTTGTAAAAACTGTTGGGTTACACTTTGGAGACACGCGTTGGCAAAGGATTAAATGCCAATTAATCATACGTACCCGAGAAAAAATAATTATATATATTGTAACGGGACAGGTGGATAACATGCGCCACTGTACATTAGGACTAGTAATTCGGTGCTATTCGAGCATGCCCGGTAATATTTGCGAGCAAGTGGGGAGGCCCTGGGAGAGGGGACCGCGTAACGCGAGCGCGAGGCCCGGCGGACGAACGCTCTCTTGAATCGGAACTTTCGACTCGATCGCACGACTAAGAATCGGTACGAAAACCGTATTCGTTCTTTCGCAATGGAGGAATTAATGCCACAAGTAAGAGTATTCTTTTTCAGGACGCTTACACACCAACAGGTCTGGCACAATCGCCACTCCTGCATCCTTCACCCCTCGTATTCCTTCAATTTAACCTCCTACATCATCCCATCGGTCTTGATATTGCACCATCTCGTGAACACCTTTTTCCACAAACCAAACCTAATTACCAGTCAATGTCCGCGACTGGCTAATTTAGAATAAGTCGTGCTAATCCCCGTAGAACCAAGCTCCGGGAAGAAAAATAGATTCGCGGAACTAAGTAGTCTGCGACCCGGTACTAAAATTCAGTTAGTAAAAATTGATTTCATTTAGGCTGATCAGCCACTCCCACAGTACGGGTAGAATTCTCAGAACAAGGTTCAAAACGGAACCTCAAATTCACTCTTGTAGGATTAGCTAGCGCTGCGTTCGGAATAGATTTCTGCACGCGGATCAAGTAAAACGAAAGGTCGGCAAACTTAGTGCACGGGGTAGGTACTAACTGCCCGAAATTCTTAACAGTCCAAATTTATCACAAAACCTGAAGTTCTATTATTCCAAATCCTGCCGATTCAGTGATGAAACTAACCGCACCGATAATGGGATAAGCCGTTCTCACTGAGAATCAAATTTCCATCCTTCCTTTCCCGGTAGCCAGAATCAAAAAAACAGAAAACGCGATAATTGAATTAGGACTGCACCTAATTTAATTAAAGTGATCCGGAAAAGTGAATAATTTTCTGAGAAATTAAAATCGCCAATTCGTGCGAAACGGTGCGATAGCAAAGTCCCTAACGATGGAAACACTCGCTAAATCCGGATTTGGTCGACAGGCCACCCGACTCTCCATAATATTTACCGTGGGAGACCTGGTGTGGCGCCGACAGCGTATACTATCGTCAGCGGCGTACTACATAGTCGCTAATCTTGCGCCGAAGTTCGTGGGCCCATTTCGGGTGACCCGCGTCGTTTCTCCCGTTGTCTATGAGGTGTAAGAATTGGCGGGAGGAGGTACGCGTACGGGAACCGTGAAATCACCCTTATCTCCCTTAGGAGAGCCATTAAGAAGCTGTACCAACTACCGATGGCGACGCGCCAGGGGACCCCAGATTCCGGGCCGGCCCTGGCAGTACCGGGACCAACTGAGGGCCCAAGGCGGGGGGGCGACCGAGGGGAGGTAGACCGAGGAGTCCCGCGTCCTATACCGGCCATTCTCCGCGATGCTCACACCGGGGACAACCAAGGAAGAAGCCCGCCGCCTCTTCGCCCTGCGCGTCCGGGCTGATTTAGCCCATTTCGAAGCTCAACGGGCCCGACTCCGCCGAGGGTGAAGGCCGCCGCTGGGACGCCGCTGGAGGAAACAGGCCCCTCGGAATCGAACGGCCTGTTGGAATTGTGGCCGCGGGGATCACCGATACTCCTTGTGCCCGGAGGGACGCAACCACTTTTGTTATGGCTGCGGGGCCCGTGGACGGACGAGGGGGAGCTGCCCCACCTGCGCCGACAACTATTGGGCCGAGTTGCGAGAGGTGATCCGGTGAGAACGTCGGGCACCCCAACAGCGGTCCCGGAGCCAGCCAGCAGCGGGGCGGGGTGGAGGGGAGGAGTAAACCGTAACCTCAATGACCGGCCTCTTCACCCCCCACGAGGGCCGTGGCTACCGCCGCGGACGATTTTTTTTTTGTTGGCGACCTTTCACCCCGACCGGGCCCTTTTCCGGGGTGGGAAGGGGAACTATTTAGTTTCCGGACGTGGCGGCATGCGGCTGCCCGTAATCGCCATAGAAGGCCGTTTCTTTCGGATTAAAATCAAGTTATGTTCAGTTCCGCAAGAGGTCGTTTCTTTGTTGGAGTACCCTAACCCCTACGTTCACAACGAGTTCCCGCATAGAATTTGTTATTTGTTTTTGTAAAAGCGGAAACGCACTCTTAATATTCCCGTATTTAGGTTTGCGGGGAGGTAACCCCTTAGCCTCCGAGTACTCCGGCTTCCCCTGGGAGGGAGGAATTTGTAACGTGGCCGTCACAAGTCGGTGCGGAGCGGGAGCGGTAAGTACCGAAACCATTATTAAATTACCTTCAGTATCAGATGGCGACGCTCGGGGTGTCCAGGAACAATCACTAATTGTAAGTAGCGTTTAGATTATGTAACACTAATTATAAGTAATATTAAGTAAGGCCGCATCGAGGAGAATTTTCAAGGTGGGGCGTTTGTCTATCGCGAATTTGGCGGTCTTCGGGAGCCGGACTGTACTTAGCGCGCCACGTGACGGGCCCTGACATCTTGCGTAGGCCTAGTTAATCATCTATCGCCGAACGGTCTCGCATACGCCGGAAGAATCTAGGAGGGGGTTTCCGTAATTCGGGCGATCCTGCCGGCGCTTGGATCCTCATGGTCCTGGATGCTCCGAGTGTCGCCGGTACAGGCGCCCTCAAGAACCGAGTTGCCGCTGCCGTCTCGCTCCCGCTACCGCCGAGAGGAGATTCCTGCCGTTCCGCCCACGGAGATTGTAGGGTGAGCAAACCCACCTGGGATGCCCTTTTGAGTCCTTTTCCGCTTCAGCCCGAATTTTTAGCGATTTTATGTGAACCTCCTCGGCGCGTACCTCCCGGCCATTCCGTAATGGCGCCTGACCGCGTGCGCCGGATGCGGCGAAAGGTTTAACAATTTATGCTTACTAGGGCAGATTCTTTAGTTCAGTGTAGCTTGGGTGAATGGATACGTCGTTTCTGAAAAGCTCAGGATACTTTTTTTTAAATTTCATAAACTTCTTTGATTGAAATTTCCCTTCATTTTCTTGGGGCACATTCCTTCTGTCATTGGAATTACATTGGTTGTTGGCTGCCTCGTCGACATCACTCATTGTAATGGATATCCCACCTCCTGTAATAAAGGCCGATCTATATTTCTTCATTTATTTAAAAATATTCTAATGAACAGTTACGTCGCGATTGAGTGACAAACGAAGATGGGGAATTTAGCAAATACCCATGAGCGGTTTGGTGGTTATAGGAGAATTAATTCGTACACATGTGTAACCAACTTGTGATTATGGGAAAAAGAAAATAATCTATCCGGCTAGATCAATCTTTTTGATGGGGGTAATAGTTTTCTTGATCCTCAAAGCGTGACTGAAGGGTTGCATGCCATGCGGACTCACATGAGTTTTTAGGAATTATACGTTGAGTTACGATGAACTTGAACCGTTCTATTTGTATCGTAGTTAACGTGACTTAGCAGCCAAGTGGCAAGCAAAGTTGGGGATATGTCCTTGTAGGTAATTCGAGTTTGACTTGACCATCATGCAAACAGGTCATTTTTAAGCCTGAGAGGCGTATACAGGGTGTAACAGAACTCGTAGTCACGGTTTCTACAGCGATATCCTTGTTGAAAAAGGAGTCGTAATGTCCGGCACCATTTCTTCCTACAGTATATGAATTTCCTGTAATAACTAATTGGAGCACAGCTAATCAATCGCGTTTGTCAACAGAGAGCACGCCGGCGGCGGCTGCTACGATGTAGACAGCCGAACGCACCCCCTACCGACGCCCTTTACGCTATGCCTTCTGTCGGGGAACGCAATTGATTGGCTGTGCATCAATTTGTTATAACAAAAAATTTATGCACTGTAGGAAAAAATGGTACAGGACTTTTCTACTAATTTTTTAACAAGGAGAGCGCTGTATAAACCGTGACTGAGTTCTAATACACCCTGTATAATTCGAAAAGCAACGGAGCGGGCGAGGGGATTTCCTCGCTGCAGGTGCCTTTAGAATCATATATAACTGAGGAACAGACTCACATGCAAATTTCGATTGGCTAAATTTTGAAGCCTGAATGTATTGTTACGTCCTACATAACCCTCCCTGCACATGCATCTGTGTCCTACGCGTGCATCGGTTCACATGTCAGGTTAAGAGGATATGAAAGGCGCTAGGAAATCTAATCGACGTCTATAAAGTAAATATCCATCTATACCATTTCTGCGGGTGATGTCGTTTTGAATACTCAAGTTGCAACATAAGCTGGCGCGTCCCATTACCGACATTTATATTTATGTTGAAGTCTTTTACAGTCTACGTTGATACTACGAATTATACGAACTGAAGGGTTCTATATGTCATTTCGGTAAAGTAATGACAAGAAGATCCGTGTAAAACTGCCAAAATCCCATGAATTCATGACTATCTATATTTTGACAAATCAACGTCACCACCTATGACGTTTAGCTGCACCTAAATTTTTACTCTAAAATACGTGTTAGCCGCAGGACACGCCAGCATTCCCTTGCAATTGTTGGTGAAAGTATTTACCACATTTTCCTATCTGACTCTGTAATATTCCATTTCTACGGTATTCTAAATTGTTTGAGCTGGGTCCTGAAACTCATTTTCGATTCCAAGAAGTCTCCAAGAAGCGTAATACATCGAAAACGTGCACGGACCACGCCATGTTGGTTCTAATCCATGATAAGTAAATCAATTTTTGATAAAAAATGAAATTTCATTAGTTTCAGGATCTACTTTAGGGCCTCCATATTCACCTGGTAAAATTTGAAACGAATCAGTACACCCAATTCGGAGAATATTTTCCCCAACAATTTGACTTCTCAGATATATATAGGCTGACTCTTTCATATCCTTCTAAGTCCGGGAGGCCCAGGGTTTTTTAAGAGGAACACCATAATATCGTAGAATTTCCGATATGTATTCTTAGGTTTAGATAACCGACGGCCATCCTGACTTAGTCCCCGCGGCCAAAAGACCCGATTATAGAACACAACGTTTTCTAGCGTGGGAAACATAAATTAACCCTTTACACTCGAGGATTTTGCCATTCCAGTTACCAGCGGCGCCGTAGTGGCGCCTCTCGAGTGTAAAGGGTTAAGATCGCGTGGACCTCCGCGTTAATTGTAGCCACCCTGCATGTGCAGGCCCTAAAAATGAACTTAGACAAATGTAAGTTCTGCATGAGACAACTAAAGTACCTAAGCCATCTCGCCGATGAAAAAGAACACCGGACCTACCCAGAAAAGATAAGAGCCATCACCGACATGGCACAACCGAATAACTGTAGGCAGCTCAGACGCATCCTAGGAATGTCATCATGGTTCCAAAGATTTCTCCCGAACGTATCCGACTTCACGGCCCCAATGGCAGGACTACTAAAGAAACGAGTCCGTTGGTCATGGAGCCCCCAACAGCAAATAGGTCCGTTGGTCATGGAGCCCCCAACAGCAAAAATCCATTTCGAAAAATGGAAGGAACTACTAACACACACACCAGTAATCGCTTGCCCCGATTTCGACAAACCCTTCGTCCTCCAGACCGATGCAAGCAATGAAGGAATAGGTGTCGTACTGACGCAAGAACGCGAAGGACAAAAACAAGTGATAGCTTACGCCAGCAGAGCCTTAAATAAAGCGAAGCGAAACTACTCAGTCAGCGAAAAAGCAGTATGTGGAATACGCAAGTTAAGAGGCTACCTCGAAGGGTATCACTTCACGCTAATAACAGACCACCAAGCACTAGTATGGCTCAACAAAATCGATAACCCATCCGGAAGACTAGCCCGATGGGCCCTAGAACTCCAACAGTATGAGTTTACGATAAAGTACCGAAAAGGGGCCGAAAACCCAGTAGCAGATGCGCTATCCAGACAAAACACCGAAGTGACTTCAATACTCACGAATTGCACATGGTATAACAACAAATGGCGCAGAGTAAATGAAGACCCGACCAGACATCCAGACTACGAAATAAGAAACGACCGAGTCTACCGACATATACTGCACAGACTCGATAATAACGACGCCAGCATAAACGAAAATTAGAAACGATGCGTGCCCACGGAAGAACGGCAAAGAATCTTACACGAGGCACACGACGACCCAACGGCCGGACACCTGGGGATCGCCAAGACCCTAACCCGCATATCGCAACTATACTATTGGTCCGTAATTCTGCAAGACGCTGCATCATACGTCAGAGAATGCAAACTGTGCCAACAGTACAAAGCTTCCCAGCAAAGGAAACCAGGCCAAATGTTAGCAGACACAACGAACGACCCATGGCACACCGTAAGCGTAGACCTGGTGGGCCCGCTACCGAGATCAAGCAACAACAATATCTGCATACTAACCATGCAGGACATATTTTCCAAATGGCTAGAAGCTACACCACTACGCAAAGCCACGGCAAAAATAGTAACACGTCAAATTAAGAACTCCGTCATCTTACGCTATGGCTGCCCCTGGACCATGACCTCCGACAATGGAAAACAGTTTATAAGCAAAGAATTTACGGATGTTAGAAATATATGAAATCGACCACCGGAAAACACCACCATACACACCCCAGTGCAACCCGGTCGAGCGAATAAACAGGGTGCTGAAAACAATGATATTCCAATACGTCGGCAAGAATCAAAAACGATGGGACGATTAGCTCAGCGAATTGACATTCGCATACAATACATCCGTACACGACACTACCGGATACTCACCAGCCTACCTCAACTACGACATGGAATTAACAAACCCAAACAACACGTAAAAAGGCAGAAGAACCAGGTTAACCGAAGAAGAGAGGATCAAGAGAATGCAGGAAGCATACGGGTTAGTACGCGTTAAGAACGCCCAAGCATTCCAACGACAAGAAAGATCATACAACCTACGCCGACGGAAGTGGCACCCCTACCCTGGTGACCAAGTCCTCAAGAAATCACACACACTCTCCAGCAAGGTTAACGACATCAACGCAAAGCTAACCCAAAAACACGACGGACCGTACACAATTCACAAAGTCGTATCTCCCGTAATATTCAACCTTAAAAGCACCAATGGAAAGATCACACGAAATATACACATTTCGGAGCTCAACAAATTCCACGAAACAAAAAGATAGAGAAAAACAGACGAACTCGGGGCAGAAACCCCACGTCGTACGTGAGCTCAGTTACAAAGCAACCATGGCCGAGGAGCAATACTGAAGAAAACTCACGCGTCCACATGTCACCACCCCGGCAGCAAAACCACCCACCGCACAGCTAGGAACGCCGCGGAGATATAAGCCATTCCCCTACCGGCTCTACCCAGGCACACGGAAAGTCGACTAGAAATCCAGGAACCAACGGCGATCCTATTAGCCGAACCCCAGGCTCCACGGCGGAAAGCCAGGCGCGGTCCGAGGCCAGCTACAACAACGGGTTACGCTACCAACGCTAACAGCACTCCGGCAACCCGCCCACTAGCGAACGTCCAGCTGCCGGACGGAGGAGAAGCCATCATCCCGTTGGCGTGCGGAAATGGCGGATCCGACGCCACGGCAATATTGCAACAATCCGCCTCGACTAGGCGATGAATGTTACATACATGAGCCCGTGGAAAACAGACTCGTAAGTATCCGCCGTTGTTCGTTTCTTTTTCCCCCCGAGGAGGGGGGGGGGGNACGTACATCGGACCAGGGCGCTCGAGGCCGAGCCACACGACTAGCACAGCACGACGGCCGGGCCCCGCAGCCCGGCACCCGGTTCCCGCAAGCGCGACGCCGGCCAACTAGCGCGCGCCGCGGCCGTTACGGGGCGACCCACGGCCCGCGCTCTCTCTCTCGCAGGAGCGCGAGCCTCCCGGGCACTATAGGAATCCCGGGAAAATAGAGCAACGAAGAGTCGTAGGAAGAGAAGAAACCCTGTGAAAGTTCGGCAGATCGAAGGCAATCTCAATGATTGAGTCCGAGCTGTGTTTCACATTTGAAAATAGTGTTAGTTCCTGCTTCAGAGCTGTCGCATTGACAAGGTCGAAGGTACGGCTCTACACTTTCTTTGTATTCTTTTTGTTTGAACCTGTTTCGATTGACTTCTGAC